ATCGGGACGTCCTACAACGCATAGACGAGGAGCTTCCACAGGTGAGCAAAAGAAGCGAGACTAAAAAAGTTTGATCTGCAAAAAATCCCCAACTTGTGCAAAGTTAGAAATACATGCAGCAACAATGGTGGCAGCTCTATAAATAGAAATAAAAAAATGACAAAGATAAGCCCAGGGGTTTATTTTTAAACTCTCACTTTAGGATCACAAAAATGAAACCAGTGCGGAAGTTCTTTAAACCTGCATTGTTTCTAATGACCAGTAGGGGGCGACTCCACTGGTTGCAAATAGGAGATCAGCTGTTGTAGAAGTCAATGTGAATAATGAGGCTGCTCTCACCTTCAGTTACCGCCTCACCGAATACTTTTTTTGTAATGTCTGATTTCAAATAGATACGATGGTTACAGCTATCTTCTATATACAGTCAGTTTCTTTATTCCAGTCATTTCCTGTTGTAGCTGAAATGAAAATGTGTTAATATTTTGCCTCTGTGTCGTCTGCAGCTTAAGTCTCAGTTGGATCGGGAACTGGAAGAGGAGTATCACCGCCTTCCCGAGGAGATCTGCCAGCACCTACAGCTCGAGCTGCAAAACAAAAATCTCCAAAAGAACGCGCTGTTCTCCGCCTTGTCCAATCATAGCAGTCCCAGTACAGGCTCGGGCCCGCCCTCCAACTGCTCCACGCCCTCTAACTCATCAACGCCCAGTCGGAGCACTTTGCACATGAGCCGGGACAATAGCACCGTCTCTCTGGCCGATTCCACTTCGTCGTCCACCACACCCGTCTTGTCAGACGCAGAAATGTTGTTCAATTAAAACTTTTACTCGTTCAAAGGAATATACAACAGGGGTCTATAGTGATTGTAATGTGGGATAGTAATGATGTAGAATATTTACTAATTTTATTCTTTCTTTTTAATCCTGACCTTTTTTTGGTCTTGTCTACAGAGCTATATTATTTTTTATTTTGGCCGTTTTTGTCAGAAAACTCATTGTGGATTATGTTGGAATAATTCATAAGAATCGTAACCAGAGCTGTTTTATTTCATTGTTCTTTTCTTGTCTTGCTTTTAATGTCACCCCCCATCATTCCTATTATTTTGTGTGGTCAGTTATCTTTTTTCCAGGCTTATAATGGCTTTAACCTCTTTTGTGGACTTTTCTGGAAAGCTTTAACCTGTGCAGAGGGGGGAGCATAATTATAAACCACATAAGTAGCTCCCAGCTCCTGAGAGTAATGGTAAAGGGTACTTCTCACTACAAATTTGATCAGCTTTATTTCTTCACAGCTTTATCTCCTTGAGAAAGACAGGGGAAATGAAACAGCCAAAGGAGATTTTTATTTTTCCCAGTTGTTATGAGGTTAGAAAACTGCATCCCAGATGTGAGCATGTGAGTATCAGGACAGATAAAACGGGAAAAGGGTGATTTTAAAATTCCATTACAGCTGAACGTTTAGCTGTAATGACAGTGGCTGACCAGCAGGTGGTGCTACAGCCTTATCCATTTTATTTTTTTTAAATTGGTGATTTGAGCTGTCTGTGCATGCAGCCTGATAATCCTATTAGACTGTACCCCAACACACACGCCTGCACATGCACACCTGGATTTGCCGCGTCATCGGTGGGGATGAAGCCTCTGCCCTTTAACCCTCCATGAAATTGCAGCCAATGAGGAAGGGGCAGAGGAGGGAGGGGGCATGAGCGCACATCCATCTGGCTACAAATTATGAGGAGTTTTGGTGACGCAACACTCGCTTTCTAAAACATGTGGGCATCTCTCTCAACACATATACACAGTTTATTGGTTCAGAAACCCAAAGTCTCTAAAATCCTCATCCCATCCAATCTGCTCCACGTAGATGCGTATTTAACGCACAATAGGGACAAATCAAAATAATTTTTTCCAAATATCAGCGATTATGACACTCAAGGGAATTCGAGTGTGTATGTGTGTGTGGCCAGAATTTAATCTGTTGATGAGGCATCTGCTTGTGGGGACAGTAATACTTCTTACTAAATGGAGAGAGTTGGTGTGTATGCACTTCTGTTGGTGCAGTTAGTTTGACGTCAAAAGCTAAAGTAGTGCCATTACTGTAGACGCCAGTCTGATGATGACACAGAGCGGCACTATGACATCTTAATGTAAAAATGCACTCATTTTTCTTCTTTTTTTAAATTAAGGCTTTCTATTAGTGTGGTATTAATTATTTAATGCTGCTTGAACTTCACTAAAGCCTCAAAAATACCACTTGCATGTTTCCATTTTTTTTTAAAATGGACATAAGGTACATGTACATTTTATGTTAGCTTAAATATGCCCTTCCCACACAGTTCCTTCACTGTATTGGATAGCCAAAAATGGTGTGTGGCATGGTGATGTACAAACTGAATGGTACATTTAAGTTAAATATCAGTTTCTGTCTCTTGCAGAGCTCCCTGTTTAGCTGTATATATTTGATTTTTTTCCTCTTTACTTTTTTGTCAGTTTAACAGCAGCGGTCTTTGTTTTCTTTTCTCGTCCTCATCGAAGGGGGAAACGATGGTACTTTATTTGTGTGTACTGTGTAGGTATTTAGCTGTATGTGAATTTTACTACTGACCACAAGTGCTGATGAAAGATGGAGGTGAGAGAGGTCAAAGACGGCTGAGAAGAGAAACGTGGGTTTCATTTAAATGTTTTCTCAAAGAAAATAACTATTGGATGACGTTTTGGGAGTCCTGTCTTGTCCTCTCCTACGTCCATCCTTCGATGAGCACTGGCTGCCTGTATTGTCTGTCTGATTGCCCCCTTCACACACATCATGTAAACTGTCATCTTTTGAAACTGAATTTTATACAACTTTTTGTCTTTTATTGTGATTCAAGTCTTTATTGATGAAAGACTGTGTCTATTCAGGCTGCTGAAAAATGAAACCCTTCATATCAAGTCCCCATCACAGACTCAGTATGTGTGTTATTTTTTTTTGGCATTTTAATATATCTGACGATTTAATGGCGCTGTTCTTTGTTCTCAAAAAGGAAATCTTTGAAACTAATAACAGTTTTGCTTTGGTTGGTTTTTCATATAGGTCAACAGTAGGATAGGATGATTTTCTGTGCCATGCTCCATAGAGTAGACCTACATGTGCATGCTTATTTGTGTAGTGTGTTATAGATTTGAGCCTTTATTTCCAACGTTGGTCTCAGAGGTGAAACTCTCAAATAATTTTACTTGCCAAAAATGTCAACATACTCCTCGCAGGTCGTCTGTTTTATAGGTCAGCTTGGTCCAAGCGATTTAATTCAATACTTTTTATAGTGCCAAATCACAGCACAAGTCATCTCAGGGCACTTTACATAGTAAGATCAATACTCTATAATATTTCAAAGGGGGGAAAAAAAACAAAGAGTTAAGGACTTGGCAACAGTGGCAAGGAAAAACCCCCTTTTAACAGGAAATGACCTCTGGCTTGACTACGCCCACTGAGGCTAGCCATCTGCCTCAGCTTATTGGGGCTGAGGGAGGAGCAAAGAGAGGAAAAAAGCACTGAGAAACAAAAGTCCAACACATTCCATATCCAGTTAACACTATCTAATGTCCTTGAACTTCATAAAGTCATGACTATTGGGTACTCGAGGTTTTTCCATTCCTGTTTTTGAGGAGAAACGTACATCCCATTTTTCATCTCTTTATGTTTAAATGCACTTTTACTCTATTTTACGTGTATATAAAAACCTTTAGTTCCTGTGACGCCGACATCAATGCAACTACTTTCTAAGGATTTTACTTTTTGTGTAACGTATCAGCCGTTGTTTATTTTGTGTACAAGAAAGGTTTTCCTCTTTGCACTTTGAGCTTGGATTTATTTTGTACTGTTCTTTTGGGTTTTGGATGGAAAATGTCATCGCATCCTAAATGAGAGTTTTTAGATTTTAAAATTTTAGTGAGAAATCAAACACAAGTCATGCATTGCTTGCCAGAAGCCACATTTCTAAGCAGATCTGAGATTTCCATGTGGAAGTCCAATTTAATAATGCAACTCTTTTCTCTGCTGTTCGCAGGAAATGTATCTGTGTATGCAAGTGAATAAGTAGGCTACAGTATTTCAAATTCGTTTTTTCTTTTTGTGCAAAGCTTTTGATATATGGACTCTTACTCTACTGTAGAAATTCATGTTGTCAGTGGCTTTACAGATGATGTACAGTGTCTTTATAGATGAGCTAAGACAAAGATTTTAAAACCTTTTACAGATGTCAGCTTAATATTAATTTATTTTAAGTATATTGGTGGGATAACCTTCTGAGGCTAGGGGAAAAAGAGGAGGAGTCCAGTCTTCTTAATATAACGATTATAGGATGTATGTATCTCCTCCTTCATGAGTGGGCCAGTCTTTGCACGAGCATCGTCTCACACTGCGATTATTAACATTTTATTATAAATTCTTTTGATTTCCGTATTTTTCATCCCCCGCAAGTGCAATGTTAAATTGTCCATGTGTGTTTATTTTAGGTGTCAACATATGTCGCCCATATGTAACTTAACTTTGAAAAATTTGTATCGTTCGTGGAATTTTATTTGAGTCGCCCCTAAATATGGAATGAAGAATTTGAAAAAACACCGCTGGCCTGGCAACAACCACCAGTGAGGCAGTGAAATAATTATAGTTTGATAGTTTGGCATGTAAAGGGTAGCAAGTGAAAAATAAATGTAAAAGTATTTGCATAGTCTATTTAAAAAAAAAAAAAAAAAAAAAAAA